GTTGAGAAATGGATAGTTTTCGTAATGCAAAAAGTTGCACTCTGTAGGGTAGAGAAGAGTAGATTGAATGTTAATTTGAATTAATTTACCTACTATTTTGAATTTACGTATGATGTGAAGTGAAATCAGAAGTGGGATGTTTAATTCGTTGACTAGTTCGATCGAAGGCCTTGCTGTATACGTATACCAGGGGATGGGGAGAAGTTGTTGAGAAATGGATAGTTTTCGTAATGCAAAAAGTTGCACTCTGTAGGGTAGAGAAGAGTAGATTGAATGTTAATTTGAATTAATTTACCTACTATTTTGAATTTACGTGTGATGTAAAGCGAAATCAGAAGTGGGATTTTTAGTTGGTTCACTAGTTTGGTCGAAGGCCTTGCTGTATACGTATACCAGGGGATGGGGAGAAGTTGTTGAGAAATGGATAGTTTTCGTAATGTAAAAAGTTGCACTCTGTAGGGTAGAGAAGAGTAGATTGAATGTTAATTTGAATTAATTTACCTACTATTTTGAATTTACGTGTGATGTAAAGCGAAATCAGAAGTGGGATTTTTAGTTGGTTGACTAATTTAGTCGAAGGCCTTTCTCTACTTACCAGGGGATGAGGAAAAGTTGATAAAAAATGGCTAGTTTTCGCAAAGCAGACATTTTCACTATAACTCTATAGGCTATAATAGAGTAAATTGATTGTTAATTTGAATTAATACCATTTTGAATTTACGTGTATATGATGTGAAGCGAAATCAGAAGTGGGACGTACAATTGTACAGTTACGAGGGGACGAAGAAAAGTCGTCGAAGAATTGGATTAATGCGTTTTATTGTGTGAAAATATTTGGCTTTCGCGTCGAGAAGCGTCCATTCATCGAAGACGGTGATTTATTAATTTTTTTTTTGTACCGATGCGGCGTGTCTCGGGGTTTTCTGTTCTCCTCGTTTCACCAGAAACGTGGGAATATCTCGCATTGTGTTCGACGGATAGGAAAGAATCCACCGTCGTATTTCGATACCGTTTTCGACGTTTCCTCTTCGGTATGGAATCGCATCGATTTCGCAAACAAAAACGCAGTTAAACCGGATTACGATTTGCATGTTGTACCAGTAGAAGGCCCGACGAGGGTTTTATTGATCACCCGAAACCGTCCCTTTTCGACACAACGACCCGCATCGGCGTTAATTACCAAAATATTTTCCCAAAAATCTTGTTAATTTTATTACCCCCTCGGATTTTTGGAGAATGTACTAATCCTCCCTCGTATTGTTCCTTGTTTACTCGGGACGTCTTGTTTACAACCGCATTTTGCGGGCGGTATAAGAATAATCTTGTTAAATAATAAGGATTAGATTTTATAAATACTTACTTACAATACAGCGTTGCCAAATGTACACGCGAATTTCGTTTGTAATCTACTAGCAAATAAAATCATTGTATTTTCTGTACAGATGTTTAAAAAACTACCCTCTGCGTTTCGATTAATATACAGCCCACTGTGTGTGTGTGTATGTTTACTGTGTATATGGAGGGCCCTTTTGAAGGGTTCACGGTTCGTTGGGTTCGTATCACAACTGGGACGGCGGGAGGGCCGCGCTCGCGCCCCCCTCGGGCTCCCCTTTACGGCCCGTTATAGGTGCTAAATCAAAACTCGAAAGTGCCCTTTTGGGCCCCCTTAACGGCGCTGTCGGCGTGTCGTCGGTCGAGAGAGGCGGGTATTTTCGGGTTAATTAGGAAAGGGTATACGGATGTATCGCGAACTGTACTTTTTCTACGAACGCCAGGGTTGTTAAAAATTGTTTACCAAAAAGTGTTTAAATGCAAATACTTCTGTAGAAATGTATTTAAATAATATGTTAAATATTGGTAAATAAGAAGTGTTTAATCACAAAAATAATACTTTTAAGTATTTAAATACTGAATAAATACAGGTAGGTATGGAAAAAACGGTTAAAATAAAAGGTAACTTTGGTTCTTCCAATTTTACTGCTCGAGCAGTCTTATGCAAATAAATTTCAAGTATTTAAATACTGAATAAATACAGGTAGGTATGGAAAAACGTTTAAAATAAAAGGTAACTTTGGTTCTTCCAATTTTACTACTCGAGCAGTTATATGCAAATAAATTTCAAGTATTTAAATACTGAATAAATACAGGTAGGTATGGAAAAAACGTTTAAAATAAAAGGTAACTTTGGTTCTTCCAATTTTACTGCTCGAGCAGTTTTATGCAAATAAATTTCAAGTATTTAAATACTGAATAAATACAGGTAGGTATGGAAAAAACGTTTAAAATAAAAGGTAACTTTGGTTCTTCCAATTTTACTGCTCGAGCAGTTTTATGCAAATAAATTTCAAGTATTTAAATACTGATAAATACAGGTAGGTATGAAAAAAAGGTTTAAAATAAAAGGTTACTTTGGTTTTTCCAATTTTACTGCTCGAGCAGTTTTATGCAAATAAATTTCAAGTATATAAATACTTAATAAATACAGGTAGGTATGGAAAAAACATTTAAAATAAAAGGTAACTTTGGTTCTTCAAATTTTACTGCTCGAGCAGTTTTATGCAAATAAATTTCAAGTATTTAAATACTGAATAAATACAGGTAGGTATGGAAAAAACGTTTAAAATAAAAGGTAACTTTGGTTTTTCTAATTTTACTGCTCGAGCAGTTTTATGCAAATAAATTTCAAGTATTTAAATACTGAATAAATACAGGTAGGTATGGAAAAAACATTTAAAATAAAAGGTAACTTTGGTTCTTCAAATTTTACTGCTCGAGCAGTTTTATGCAAATAAATTTCAAGTATTTAAATACTGAATTAATACAGGTAGGGATGAAAAAAACGTTTAAAATAAAAGGTAACTTTGGTTCTTCCAATTTTACTGCTCGAGCAGTTTTATGCAAATAAATTTCAAGTATATAAATACTTAATAAATACAGGTAGGTATGGAAAAAACGTTTAAAATAAAAGGTAACTTTGGTTCTTCCAATTTTACTGCTCGAGCAGTTTTATGCAAATAAATTTAATTTCCAAGCTTTCCTCATTATGTAAATTTAAGTATCTTTACAAGAGTTATATTTGAATAAAATAGATAAAAAAAATTAAACATTACCTATTGATGGTTACCTTTCATGCAATTAGAATGTATTTTTAATATTGCATATGGAATTTGTACAAAAATGTATTTCAAATACATTTCAATTAGAGAAAGCTAATTGAAGATTAAATTACTTGTTCAATTACTTTTAAAGGATTTCAAATACTTTTTTAAATACTTTTAACAACACTGACGACCGCTGGCGGAAATATAGTAAAATTTTAGAAAAGGGCTATTGGAAAACAGTAGTAAACCCTTGCATTTAGAGGGTTGAAAATTACTCGAAATATTTCTATGGGGGTGGTTTTTTCGGACAGGTCCGAGTTGTCACCCAAATTTCAAAATTTTACCTGTGCGAAAAAAGGTCATGTCCGAGTTGTCACCCGTCTATTGTTATCCGTTCGATGCAGATTATAAGGGTCTAATTGCTTTATAATCGTGGGTTTTATGGTTTTGGGTTAGAAATAGATGGTGGATGTTTTGCAGACACCGTTTTGCATTGGAACTTTTAGAGATAAAACCAAATTGCAATAAGGTTACAAAATTTTGTGATTATTTAGTGGAAAAGTACATTGACAGCAATTCAAAATTTCCTTCTCAAGTATGGGTCGAACATTTTTCGTCCTTAATACGAACCACAAATGCATGTGAATAATCATTTCATGCGACAAGTAATCAATCGTTTTATACGGTTCATTAAATAAATTCTACATACATGTAAGTAAAAGGAAATTTGAGTTTATTTAAATTTTAATATTTTCAGAATCATATTGATCTTATAAATTATATGTAAAGTTCAAAAAATATTTAATGTATCTACCTAAATAATAAAAAAAAACCAAGTTGGTTACGTTCAAAAAATATTTAGGATTTTTGAACGAAGTAGGATTAATCGAAAACATGGTCGAAAACCTAATTGCACCCTGCCGTACCTACCCCAGGTAACGGGTGACAACTCGACCCATAAGAACTGACCGGTTAAAATTCGGGTGACAACTCGACCTCTCCGGTTTTTTCCGGGCTACCCCTAGGACTAAATTCGTAGGGGAAGCGACGCTTTGTTTTGCACCGAGTTCGGGATTTCTGGTGGTTAATTACTGGACTTTGAGTAATGAAAATCGCCGGGGTAGTTATTATTTTTTTTCCTCTCTCGAGCGAGTTACTAAGGGAGCGTTATCGGTATAATTAAAAAAGAAAACGAAATTTGATTATTTCGCGCAGCGATAATAATGTAATTTTTCATTATCATTAATTATCGATTAAATTTTTTGTTTCCCCCGGTTCGCGAAATATAAACTTCATTACGCACCGGAAAATCTGCACCGTAGTTTTGATAAATAATTGCATTTTAATTGCTCTACATGCGCGTTTATAGTTAATGAGTTTATCAATATTTTAACAACAAACCCGTCCCGGTGCATAAACCTTTTTTGATCTCCCAGTTTTCCGATATGCAAATTTAAACCTCCAAAATGCATCCACTTTGCTAATGGACGATAATATAATATCGAAACGAAACACGTTTCACATTATTTTCCCCCGAAAAAAAAAAAAAAATAGCAAATTTCCATCACATAACACACAACTCCAAGTGCATATCGAACACGAACGCATTCCCTGCAAAGCAAACAGCCCAAATATTATCGTAGATTTTTCGATTACAACCCCTTAAAGAGCGCCCCCCTAAAGCGCGTCAGCTTGTTCCGGCTTCGGTTGACCCAGGAGGCCTCCGGTTGATCCGGAGGAGAGCGCGCGGGGGCGCGAAGGGGGGGGCGAATTTCGCGAAGGGTCGCGTGCGCCCCCTCAATCATATCGCACCCTCTAATATCCTTTGACGTCCTTGATAATGCAACAACACCCCCGGCCCGGTTCCCGTCGAGCATACCGAATTTAGTGCGAGCGATATAATATGAATCACCGGTTTTATTCTCTCTATCTGTTCCGCAATTTACTTATGCACAACGGTATGCTGAACTTCTTCTCGCTGGTGGCCGGTAGACTGTCGAATTCCGACGCGTAGACCACCTTCATGGTGTTAGCGAGGCCGCTTTCGGGCCTCGATGGTGACACCGTCACCACCACGTCCCCCATTCTTATGTAGCCTATGTACTTTCCATAAGTAACCCCTAATTGTAGCCTATTATTCACGTCTTCTATCCAATTACCGCAGAACGGTTTCAGGTAGATCAAACTCTCCACGCACCTGCTTATCGACAGATTTCTAGCCACTCTAGGGTATCTGGTCACAGCGATTATAGGACACCTACATTTGAATCTACACACACAAAAATATATAAATCATCTGGATGAGGTTCGAAACGTCGTCTACCTGGAGATGATTTTCGCGGTTCTTCCGGAGGAAGTCAAACATATAATGGCGGCCGCTTTGCAAGTGGACGCCGCCAACACGACGCCCACCACCAGCGAGTAGATGGGCTCCATGGGGGTGGGCAGATGGGCGAGCAGTTCCTGGAAGACCTGCCGGTGGTGCGTGGCCGGTTCGGCTTCCTTGCAAATCACGTTGATGCTGTTGAGGATCTCCTTGGATTGGGCGAGGCGCGGCAACAGCAGCGCATCGCAACCGCCCATCACCAGGTGGCTGACGTCCGATATCTCCGCCTTCGTCAGGCACTTGGAGTTCGATATCGAAGCGGTGATTATTATTGGTTTACCTACAACAATTCGCTATTAATCTGGATGATCAAAGAACGAGATGGTCCGGATATAGTTAAGATTGAACAGCAGCGTAGAAGAGACCATGGGAAGAATGATGCAGAATTATAGGACAGATAGAATCACACGAAGACCCATTGCCAGACCACCTATAAAGAGATGGAAAGATTCCTGGGTCTCGACGTCCACGATGGAAAGATTCCTGGGTCCATTAAGTGGAGGAAGAAGTAGTTACCTGCCAAATTGCATTTAGCGGTAACGGCCCGTTGTATCAGAAAAATCTTCTCCTTGGGCATCTCGAGCATCAGTTTCTCGCAATCGACCAGCACGCCGTCGGAGAACTTGACGATCTCGTCGATGTGCTCCACGGCGACGACGTTCTCGATTTTGGCCAGCACGTGGACGTTTTCGCCGTCGAGGCCGAGCATGTCCTTGATGTCGATGACGTTCTGTTTGTTCTGCACGCCGGACACCACGAGGAAATCCACCGATTCGGCCGCCGCCATCTTCATCAGCTCCTTATCGGCTTCGGTGATCTTCGGCACGTCCACGATGGCGTTGGGCACCGTCACCGAGGCGTAGCTGATCAGCATACCGGCTTTGTCCACTATACACCTGGTACATGATTGGTTTAAGATTGTTGTAGGATGATTGTTAAAGGTGTTTACTTAATGATGCTTTCGACGCATTCCAGAGCTGTTAGGGTGACCGAACCGTTATCTAGGATGACTTTATCACCGGGTTGGACGACTTCCGGTAGTTTCTCGTAGTCGACGTAGATCATATCCTGGCAGACGAATTCCTCGTAGGACGGTAGCGTTGTTAATTTCGTCTCTTTGCCTTTATCCATAAATATCTTCTTAGCCGAACCCTTTAGGGAACCTACGAGTGTTGCAGGTGTTGTATATACAGCGAGGTTTCGATTAAAAAAAAATCGTCGCTTACCGATTCTGATTTCGGGTCCTTTGATCTCGATGCCGATGCCGAGCGGATAGATCCTGCCGATGCGTCGGCTGTAGCCCTCGGCGATGGTGCGCAACTTGGCGATCACGTCCTTGCACTTGTCGACCTTCTGGGCGCTGACCAGGGCGGCGGTCATGCCGCCGTTGAGCAGCTCCACCATGGCGTTGATCTCGGTGATGGGGGTGACGACGCAGGCGAGCTGGGTGCACCGGAAGCGGTTCGGGCGCGACTTGACGTGCAACTTGCTGAGATGGTCGAGATGGTCGCCGGCGAAGGCGGCCTCGTGCTGGTTGTCGAGCACCGTTTTGGTGTCGTTGCTGTTGAAGTCGATCATCCACGGTAGCTTCGGGCAATTCGGTTGGCATTCCATTTTTTTTTTTTTTTTGTATCAATCGAATTGTTTGATTTTTTTTTTTGGTTTAATACGAAGAATTTTGGTTTGGGGTGTATTAACGACGGACGGATTTCACGCAAATTTTGGTTTCGATAATGATTTTTACTTCATTGTCACTGGATTTGTCACTAGACTGTCGCTAGATTGTGTGTTTGGTGCGGTAAACGAGGCACTTGTATTAGGGGAGTTATTCGATTATAAAACTTCTTTTTTTTGCAGTAGAGTGGATGAGTGTGAGTAGAGTAGAATAGATTCGGTGTAGGTATGGAGTAGATTATCATAGTAGAGTCGATTCAAAGTAGATTCCGAGTAGGTTCAGAGTAGATTCAGAGTTCATTCGTTAAAAGTAGATTGTAGCAGATTTATTCAGAGTAGATTCAGAGTATATTCAGAGCAAATTCCGAGGAGATTCAGGGTAAATTCAAAGTAGGTTCAGAGTTGAAGTTCATAGTACATTAGAATCAGAGTAGATTTAGTAGAGATCACAGTAGGATTTATTCAGATAAAATCAGAGCAAATTCCGAATAGATTCAGAGTCGATTCAAAGTAGATTTATGGTAAATTCAGAGTAGATTTATAGTAGATTAGAATAGATTCATTTAGAGTAAATTCAAAGTAGATTTATAGTAGATTAGAGAAGATTCATTCAGAGCAAATTCAGAGTTGATCTGGAGTAGATTCTGGGTAAATTCACAGCAGGTTCAGAGTAGATTCATAGTACATTAGAATCAGTGTAGATCAGAGTAGTATTTATTCAGAGTAAAATGAGAGCAAATTCAGAGTAGATTCAGAGTCCATTCAATGTAGATTCCGAGTAGATTCCGAGTATATTCAGAGTAGATTCGGATTAGAGTAGAGTAATAAAAAAAAACATAAAAATAACGATTATTTTGTAACAGTCGTTACTGCACCTCTATATACAAAAAAAACTATTCCCACCTCGATTAAACTTCTGTCATACGAAACGTCAGCAATGTCAGTTTTAACACAACTTTCATTAATGGTATCATCGTACGCATCTCAGAGTCCCACTTACTCGCTTACAATCCCAAAAATATTCAATAATTCATCATCACACACATTTCGTTCAAAAATAAGTAGATCAGTAGAGTTAATTCTCCAATATAGGCATAAAACAGAATCTTTCTCGATACAAAACGTATATTAAACACGTCATTCTCATCTCGCCTTTCGCCCCGTTTTTCGCCCCCGATTCATCCCCCGTCCTGCATCTATCTATCTCTGTGTGTGTGTTGTGTGTGTGTGACTACCCCTACGGTCGATCCCCTTATCCCAGAAGCGATCACAAAAGAGTCACTAGGCCGTGAAATTCGATGAAATGTGACGCACATGCTACCGCGCTATACCAATCAACTATGTACTGATTTTTAGCGACGATGATCGAACCTCTCGTTACGCCAAAAACTCCAAATTTACGTGCATTTTGTGTACTACTATTATGCCCAGTTGCACCAAAGCATCCTAGGTTGGATTCCTGTCATTAGTCAGTTTTAAGTCTAATATCAATTTCTATACTGTTGCATCAAGTAAAAAATCTCTTTTCAGTGATACGAATCGATCACAGATGATCCTGGGTTGTCGATTTCTACGATTTAAGACGAAAATGTTAACATAAAAAAATTTGAGAATTGCCGGGACAGTTGTAAAATTATGGATATAAATGCAGATATAAATATTGTGGTTAATGTAGATATAGTAGATGATGTAGAAGAAGAAATTAATGTGGTAGATGTTCCTACGCAACAATAAATTCGATTTATTTTGAAATATTCTCGGAGGATGTATTTTTTAAAAGGTTTCGTCTGCAAAAAAGAACGTCCCTACAATTATTTCAATTTAACCAAAATTTAATAATGAAATGTACTAATTTCTAGGTCACAGGTTACAGGATATGTTAAAACCACAACTTCTTCTTTGCCCCAACAACTAATAGATTATTTTGACACTTAAAATGACTTCATCTATTTGACTGTTGATTTAAGTGTCAAAATGATGAAGTCAAAATGATGAAGTCATTTTGACACTTAAAATGACATCATCTACTTCGTTTCAAGTTTTTTCAACAATATCGCTACGTTGCCAGTTGTTATCTAAGTTAAAATAGCCTTTTTTGAACATGATGCAACATATTCCAACTTTTAGGTAGATCACACATTTAGTTCACATGAAGTTTTTTCCTTAAAATATCCCCAGGAATCACCTCCTTAAATATTACCATGTAATTTTGGACCACCTGCAGATGTACTTCTGTACAATTGTTATAAGAGTTAGTAGGTAGATGGATTTTTTTCGCGTGTTAACCGGAAATACGAAAATTAATTAGATTTAGAGTAAATTTAGAATAGATTCAGTGTAGAATCAGAGTCGATTCAGATTAAATTCAGAATAGATTCAGAGTAGTCGAGAGTCGATTCAGAGTAGATTCAGAATAGAAATAGAGTCGATTCAGAGTAGATTCAGAATAGAAATAGAGTCGATTCAGAGTAGAGTCAAAGTAGATTAAAAGTAGATTTAGAGTAGATTCATAGTAGATTCAGAGTGGATTCAGGATAGATTCAGATAAAAATTCAGAATAGATCCAGAGTACAATTGTTATAAGAGTTAGTAGGTAGATGGATTTTTTTCGCGTGTTAACCGGAAATACGAAAATTAATTAGATTTAGAGTAAATTTAGAATAGATTCAGTGTAGAATCAGAGTCGATTCAGATTAAATTCAGAATAGATTCAGAGTAGTCGAGAGTCGATTCAGAGTAGATTCAGAATAGAAATAGAGTCGATTCAGAGTAGATTCATAATAGAAATAGAGTCGATTCAGAGTAGAGTCAAAGTAGATTAAAAGTAGATTTAGAGTAGATTCATAGTAGATTCAGAGTGGATTCAGGATAGATTCAGATAAAAATTCAGAATAGATCCAGAGTACAATTGTTATAAGAGTTAGTAGGTAGATGGATTTTTTTCGCGTGTTAACCGAAAATACGGAAATTAATTAGGGGGAGTAATCGCAGAGGAATTTCGATATTCGGGGGGGGTGGAAAAATGCGGATCATTTCGCCGGTCTACTTGGTAATTTATCGGTCGTACAGTCGGGCCGGTTCGGCCGTAATGAAAACGGGATAAAAAGGGTCGAAGGGGTGCCGGGGAGGCGGGGAATGCCGGCGCTAATGAAGCCGCCTCTCGGCGCTCGACACTGTTTTATGTCGCGCCCGGTTTTCGGGATTTTTCCGGCGCGGAAAAATTCCGGGCGAATTGGCTTTTTCGCTTCGCTAACGAACGGCTAACTAGACGGCGATAACGAAGCTTCGGTTTGGTTCCAATTTATTAATTGTGAACGTTTGATTCGCCGTGAATTGTCTAATACTGGGAATATTTTTGAGTTATACTCCGTTCGCTAGCGAGAGATGGGTTTGGATGCCAAATAAAAACCACTTAAAAGCTTCTATAAGTGATATGAAAGAGAATATAACTTTGTGAAGAAAGCTTCACTAATTCATACCTCTTAATAGCGAACAGACTATAATTAACTAAGACTTGTTATTGTATCTTTCTTCTCATCAGTCGTTTCGTTTATTCAAAAACCATCACCAACTTCGTTTTTTAATAAAATTCAACCAAATTATTCAAACCATTTTAATCCACATAATCCACAATTTTCTATTAACCCAAATTCTCCACCATTATGAAGACGATAAAAGTTCATCAATCATCAAACAAGCATCCCGTTTATCGCTTCTAATCTTTCTAACGACTGCAAAAACCAAACAAACGGGGGCGAAATCGACGAAACAATTTCCCCCTGTCGCCCCTTTTTACCTTCCGCGTCGTAATTAACACCGAATTGGGGCCTTTTCAGGGCCCGATCGGTCCCTTTCTCGTCCGGATGTAGAGTGGAGACGTCTTCGCGCGGGCCCGTTTTGGGCGAATCGGCCCGCGAAAAGGGAAAGATTTCTTTTTCGCTTTTCCTCTTCGTTTGTCGGGGATTCAATTAACAACGAACCGACCGCGGAAGAGGTTTTTGAGGGGATTTTCCGGGCGTCGCGCCGCTCGAATTAGTCGTGTTTTCGCCGGATTTTTCCGGCGAGATTCGAATTTTCGGAATCCCAGTAGATTTAGAGTAGAGTAGATTCAAGAGTAGTGTAGGAGTAGATTCAGAGTAGAATTAGAGTACAATCATAGTAAATTCAGAGTAGATTCAGAGTATTTGAGTCGATTTAGAGTAAATTTAGAGTAGGTAGATTCAGAATATAATTTGAATCGATTCCAATTCGAGTAAATTCATTGTAGATTCAAACTAGTTGAGAGTCGATCAAGAGTAGATTCTGAGTAAATTTAGGGTAGATTCAGAGTAGAATCCGAGTCGATTCAGACTTAAATCAGAGTAGATTCAGGATGGATTTAGATTAAATTCAGAATAGATTCAGAATAGTCTAGAGTCGATTCAGAGTAGATTTAGAGTAAATTTAGAATAGATTCAGAGTAGATTCAAAGTAGATTTAGAGTAGATTCAAAGTAGATTTAGAGTAGATTCAAAGTAGATTCAGAGTGGATTCAGGATAGATTCAGAATAGATCCAGAGTAGTCGAGAGTCGATTCAGAGTAGATTCAGAGTAAATTTAGAATAGATTCAGTGTAGAATCAGAGTCGATTCAGATTAAATTCAGAATAGATTCAGAGTAGTCGAGAGTCGATTCAAAGTAGATTCAGAATAGAAATAGAGTCGATTCAGAGTAGATTCAGAGTAGATTCAGTGCAAATTTACAGTCGATTCAGAGTAGATTCGGTGCAAATTTAGAGTCGATTCAGAGTAGATTTGGGGTAGATTCATCATATAATAAATTCGGAGAATTTTCGAAAAAAAGAGTAAATAATTCCTATTATGCTACAGAAAAAAAATTTAAACCTTTTCTTTTATTATTATTGGGTTGGCTGTGACGCCTTCACAAAAGCGCCAACTTTATCAAATTTCCATTCA